ACCAAAAATTGGAGGGAAATAAAAGCAATTAAGGTAAACCCAGCCCAAATCAAGTTGAAAAGATGAAGTTTATGGCTGTGGCTTACCCCAAAAATGCCCAAAAATGCAAACCCACATAGCGATTGGCGGGCAGGGGAGAAGGGCAGAGCAGATCCGGGATTTTTCTGGGTTGAGAGGGAAGATTCTAAGCCCCAAATCTTGTGATTGAACAAGAAAGGAAGAGAAATTCATCAAGATCTCACCGGGTTTTCAAGGGGGAGAGAGTCGGTGGCTTGGGGGGGCTTGTCGGGAAGAACAGAGCAGACACGCGGATAAGGAAGAAGAAAAAAAAGAAAGAAAAACTCAGCCATCCTTATCCTAATTTCCTTTCTTTTTAGTTCCTCAACTTTTAAAAATTTTACGCTTAAGCCCCTCAATAATATTTTTCCTCAAACAAGTCCCTTAACTTAATTGATAAAATTCCCAAAAATTTGGGATATTACACCTTTATTAAACTTATAGCATGCCAACCCATATATTCACGAAAAACAGGTACAAGTACGGAAACGAAATAGGCGTCTCCTCTATAGGTCATGGCCGGTGTTATAAACCTCCCACTGATAGGCACACGATTTACTAGTGTATAATCCCACTAGTAGGATAACAGAAACAAACCAGTTCTATCAATAACATGTCGACATGTGCTAGCGTTTATAAACCTCCCACTAGCGGGCACACAAATAACATGACTATATCGGAGACAAAACAGGTAGAAGTTAACAGAAAATCATACTTTACAGATAATTTCCAGATCATCAGGGCAGCTAAATAAACTCCAAGCAGGCATGCTCAAATCAATAAAAAAAAATCTTATTTCAAATCAATCATGCTCATTTTGTATAAAACGGGTTTAGTCTCGCCACCATTTCAAATACAAGTCAAAACATGCTTTTAAAAACTGTACGGGCATTACCATAAATTTACTTACCTCACTCGCATAAATCAAATACTCAATCTCAGTGCTAAACTGACAGAACGATCAGGAACCTAATAAAATATCCAAGAATTAATTTCGCACTACCACAAATTCAAAGTGAAATCATCATTAGAACTACCCCTAATCACGATGCTATTTCTATCAATCTCCACATGACTAGACCTCTCCAAATTTATTATTATATTACAACTAAACATTCAAATCCCCGTTAATTGTTGGCCATCAGTGCATGAACAGTGCTTGTGAACAGTGTCATAAATAGTTTTGTGAACAGTAACTGCACTTCCATAAATTGATAAAACCATAGCTAATCTCACGAGATTTTCTCCAAAAATCACAGCAGCCAACTCAAGCAATTTACACATGAATTAAACTTAATTATGCTCTAATTACAACCCAAATTCATCCCCATTTTTCAACAAATTCGGACAGCGCATGGGGCAGGAATTAAATGGACAAATTCAGCAATTAATTGATGAACTTTTTGGGCTTGGAGGAGCTGTCAACATACCAGAATTTAGCAGCAAAAACCGGAGCTGCAAGCTAGGGGAAGCCAGCGGCAGTGTAGGGGACTCACAGAAACTACCCAAAATCTGGAGAAACAGCAGATTTAACATGAACCCAAGCTAAATCAAGCTAAAAAGATTGAGTTCATGGCTGTGGCTTACCGAAAAAATCAAAGCAATTCGCCCCCACAAAGCAGGAGCAGCCGGCAGTGATAAGTAAAGCAGAGCAGATCCGGGATTTCTGCAGAGAGGGGGGGATTTCCAAGCTTAAATCTGGTTATTGAACAAGAAAAAAATGGGAAAATCCAAGCTTCTTACCGGTTTTTCTCAAGGGAAGGTGCGTTGGGCTTGGGGCTCTTGTTGCTTGGTGCAGGAGCAAAGAGGAATAGCAGGGGCGCGCGGGTCTGAAGAGGAAGAAAAGAAAGAAAAAAGAAAGAGAAAAAGAAAAGAAGCTAATCCTTATCCAATTATTTTTTCTTTTGAATCCCTCAACTTTTGAAATTTTGCCATTAAGCCCCAAAACAATATTTTTTCACACAAAGGTCCTTAACTTAAATGCTAGAATTCCCGAAAATTTGGGATATTACATTCACCCCTCCTAAAAAGGAGTTTTGTCCCCAAAACTCAAATTGAGGACCATCTAGACTAGTGAATGGTTTCACACAAGCCAAGGCCAAACAAATGCCCCACCAACTCTCCATGATCAGAACCTAGCCTACTACGCTTCCGCTGCGCCACTCTGATATCAAATCACAACTAATCATAGAAGTAGAACATTAACTACTTAACAAGGTTTACCATGAAACAAACTACTAGAGGCTGGGGTGATATGGGAAGCACAAAGAATAGAAATAAATCATGCCAAAGCCACAAAAGAACAATTGTGGGGTTACGCTATGAACCCAACACAAGACAAGTTAGCAAAGAATGGCATGGATTTAAAGACGAGTACAACAAAAGTTTGAACTTTATCAAAGACGGATAAGCATCCAATGGATATATGGATCATGAATGAATGAACGAGTGCATGGATGCCTTATAAATTCTGCCACAAAACAAGGTTAACTAATAAGTAAGATCATGTTTAACAAAACAACTGGAATCAAGAGACAAATTTTAGCAATTAACAAGAGTTAAAAGCTAGATCCATCAAATGACATGTGAAAGTTCCAGAATAGCATCAGAATGAATTCAATGGAAAATATGAACGCTTAGAAGAATACTGGAACATAAGAGTGCAAGGTAGAATGCCTCAAAAATTTCAGCAACAAAACGGCATTCACCAAGAATCAAGATCAAATTTAATCAAGCAGTCAAAATTGAGAGACAAGAGTTAACCATGAAACAAGCAATAGAATTCAAGGATTAGGCCCACAAAAGAGATTTCAATAATGACAACCAGAACACGGATTCAAGAGCAGATATAACCAAGATATCAAGATCTAACACCCTAAGTAACACGAATTAATTAACAAAATAATCAATAGTGGGGATCAGGATGCTTAGAAGATTATTGTCTTCTAATTAAAAGGGCAAACAAAATCAAAGCAGCCAGATAAAAAACCATTTCTCTTGGAAGAAAACTCTAGGGCATCAGGTACTTCAAAGACTACCCCTTCACCTCGTAGCTTATGGAGGCTAAGCAGATTTACAATCAAGTCATCCTAGACATCTTAGAGTCAAGTCAAAGCTAAGACATCAAGAATACAGAGATTAACACTTGCAAGAGACAAGAATTAAGATGCCTCATATAAGTATTTTCTAAGAATCATCACCCCTCTTAAAGAGGTGTCCATATGAACAAAAATCAAAAATCAAGAAGACCAACAGGTATACTAAAACAAGAACTAGTAGAATATGCAGGATTTGAGTAAGAGCAGTATATAGAATTTGAACAAGAACCAGTGTCAAAACAAGAATGCTTTCAAGGACAACTCAAACTAGATTCCAAGAACAATATCAGTCGATTTTCAAGAGTAGAATTCCAACAAGAATTAATTTCAAGCAAGGTTTACGAACCGATTCCAAGCACAATGCTAGAAACAGTTTCAAGAAATAGTTTCAGACAAGTATCAAGATAATGAGGATTTCAATAATCATTATCTATTTCCTTTGGATTTCAATTTCAAGAACAAGTACAAAGCAATCTCAAGAAAGATTCAAGATGGATCTCAATAGTTTTAAGTAGTTCCAGGTATCAAGAATGTAGAGATTAGCAACAATAGAGAGTTTAACTTTATGATAGCTTGCCAATCTTCACAAAACACGGCAATTTCAATTGAATGGATCACTGTTTTTGATTAACCAATATAGAAAAATGAGCCACATGAAAAGACCATGAAGCTCCAAATGGAAAAAGTGAAACTTCACTATAAGACTTTCAGAAAGATAATGAGCTGCAAAATTACCAAGTTATCCAGCTCCTAAAACGCATCTAGAAAACACACAACATTTGCTAAAACAGCCTTGAATCTCTTGCAAAGTAGAGGGTTTGCCCATCTTCCACTGGTCATGTGACAAACAGAACAACTTTCTCAACCAGCTATGCTGTAAAAACCAACAAGATCAATAGCAAAAAATCTTTGCAACTCCCCAGATTTTACAATTGTGGCAAAAGAGCATACAAAATTCTATTCAAGTAACAAGTCTAAACAAGTGCAGACTATCAGAAAATGACCAAGTTTCAAAACAAGGTCTTAAGAACATGGCGGACAAGGTTAATTTCATGAATATACACAAGGTATGAAGGGAGGAACCAAGAACAATCAGATTACCATCTCATTAAAATGGATTAGGAAATTTAGGCAACATGGACCAAAGTCGTCCCTTATATAACCCCATCACTCATCTCACCACGATTCTAAAATACATTGGCTAGCCGAGTCCAAAACAATCCTAGGTATTCAATTAAACCTAGGCTCTTTAATTAAATCTAAGCTCTGATACCACTCAATCTGTCACACCCCAAAACCCGAATTCGAGGGGCGACAAACGCTGTGCACTCGTGAGAGGGTCCCACAAATGCACAAGGCTTGGAACTTATCATACCACAATTTGATACCACAAAATCTGAAGATAAAATTTTAAAATTGTTCTGATATCATAAAATCTCCAAATACAATCTAACTTACAAGATCATAATTTATATCTAAAATCTATATCAATCTCGAAATGGCTAATCTTCTAACTCGTCACTTCCCGTGGTTTCCCCGTCCTCGGTTTCGCTTCCTAAAATGGTGGACAAGGAAAAACTATGAGATAAACTCAGTAAGTAAAATATGGAGTGCCCTTTATTAAACTTATAGCATGCCAACCCGTATAATCACGAAAAACAGGTACGAGTACGAAAACAAAATAGACGTCTCCTCTATAGGTCATGGCCAGTGTTATAAACCTCCCCTGATAGGCACACGATTTACTGGTGTATAATCCCACTAGTAGGATAATAGAAACGAACCGGTTCTATTAGTAACATGTCAACATGTGTTAGTGTTTATAAACCTCCCACTAGCGGGCACACGAATAACATGACCATATCGGAGACAAAACAGGTAGAAGTTAACAGAAAATCATACTTTATAGATAATTTCCAGATCATCAGGGCAGTTAAATAAACTCCAAGCAGGCATGCTCAAATCAATAAAAAAAAAAAATCTTATTTCAAATCAATCATGCTCATTTTGTATAAAATGGGTTTAGTCCCGCCACCACTTCAAATACAAGTCAAAACATACTTTTAAAAACTGTACGGGCATTACCATAAATTTACTTACCTCACTTGCATAAATCAAATACTCGATCTCAGTGCTAAATTGACAGAACGATCAAAAACCTAATAAAATATCCAAGAATTAATTTCGCACTACCACAAATTCAAAGTGAAATCATCATTAAGACTACCCCTAATCACGATGCTATTTCTATCAATCTCCACATGACTAGACCTCTCCAAATTTAGTCTTATATTACAACTAAACATTTAAATCCCCGTTAATTGTTGGACATCAATGCATGAACAGTTCCGTGAACAGTAACTGCACTTCCATAAATTGACAAAATCATAGCTAATCTCACGTGATTTTCTCCAAAAATCACAGCAGCCAACTCAAGCATTTTACACATGAATTAAACTTAATTATGCTCTAATTACTACCCAAATTCATCCCCATTTTTTAACAATTTCGGACAGCGCATGGGGCAGGAATTAAATGGACAAATTCAGCAATTAATTGATGAAATTTTTGGGCTTGGAGGAGCTGTCAACATACCAGAATTCAGCAGCAAAAACCGGAGCTGCAAGCTAGGGGAAGCCGGCGGCAGGGTAGCGGACTCACGGAAACTACCCAAAATCTGGAGAAACAACAGATTTAACATGAACCCAAGCTAAATCATGCTGAAAAGATGGAGTTCATGGCTGTGGCTTACCGGGAAAATCAAAGCAATTCGCCCCCACAAAGCAGGAGCAGCTGGCGGTGAGAAGCAGAGCAGAGCAGATCCGGGATTTCTACAGAGAGGGGGGGGGATTTCAAAGCTTAAATCTGGTTATTGAACAAGAAAACAAGGGGAAAATCCAAGCTTCTTACCGATTTTTCTCAGGGGAAGGTGCGTCGGGCTTGGGGCTCTTGTTGCTCGATGCAGGAGAGAAGAGGAAGAGCAGAGGCACGTGGGTTTGAGGAAGAAGAAAAGAAAGAAAGAAAAAAAAAAGAGAAAGAGAAAAGAAGCTAATCCTTATCCAATTATTTTCTCTTTTAAATCTCTCAACTTTTGAAATTTTGCCATTAAGCCCCAAAATAATATTTTCTCACACAAAGGTACTTAACTTAAATTCTAGAATTCCCGAAAATTTGGGATATTACATATATTTATAGGGAGGGTAGGGTAGAAAGATTCAATTTTTCATGAATAAAATAGCAAGTCATAATATTTTTTTTTTTGATATAATTAAACTTTTAAAAATATTATATTTATAATACTACTGTAAGGATAGGTCCGAGGTCCTTAACCTCGGACGTACTACTACAATTCTTTAATAGCCGAAGTAAAGTTAAATCCAATATTTCCTGGTCAAATGGCTACATGATAAATACAGTGGACATGCCCACACTTGATTTGTCACGCACAAATTCCCAATCCCAAAATTACCGCCTTAGGGGACATGTCACACTCCGATTATCCTGTTAAGCAAGCCACGTGGACCTCTCACAAAGGCCTATAAATGCCCCCCAAGGGCCACTTCAAAAAGGTAATTGAAACCAACCTAAAGCTCCTTTTTCGTTACTCTAGAGGTAGATCAGATTATTGCTAACTTAACATCGGAGTGTCTACGCCAAGGACCCACCTTGGGGCTTTGTAGGTTCATCCGAAGTGAAGACGCGGGCTGAAGAAGGATCTCTGGTTTGGTGTAATTACATTGGCGCTGTCTATGGGAATCGAACTAAAAGCTCTTTTGTTGCTTTCTCATCATGGTCAACACTCGATCTGTCTGAGCTGGAAACCAGGCTCAACCTCTTGGCCAAGGTCAAGGTCATCTCCCCAACAACCTTCCACCTCACCTCCCACCTCAGATCCCAAATCTATTTCCTCTTGTTGAACATGCAGAAGGAGGAGATGAAAACCAACCTCACAATTCAGCCCATAACTTAGCTTCCACTGCTAATCATGGAGATGTAGTTACAGCTCAGCTTGCTGCCATGCAACAGCAGTTCAATGTTTTTCAATTAGTTTTGGCTCAGCTCCTAGCTTGGAATAATCCTGGCGATCCCCTCATCAATCTACTCAACCCTACTCAACAACCCCCTGTTCAACAGCAAGACCCTCAACTAGTTCAACATGCCCCTGCTCTCAATGAGTCTCAGGGTTAGTCTCATATAGCTCCAGTTCAACAACCCCTATCTGATGATGTCACACGACGTCTAGACAGTTTAGAAAAACTGGTAGCCGAACAGAGAGGTGCTCCACCTCCACACCATAATACTGACTCTATACCTCACCCTTTGAACACCAACATCACATTGGAACCTTATCCCGCCAGCTTCAAAATTCCTTAGCTCGAGACATATGATGGGATGAAGGATCCAGATGATCACCTCCATGCCTTTTACTTTTGTATGCAAACTCAGAATGCCTCTGACACGTTAATGTGTAAGATTTTTCCCTCCACCCTCTGAGGAAATGCTCAAACCTGGTATTATAGTTTAACTCCGAGATCCTTAAACTCTTATACAGAAATGGCATCTACTTTTGCCACAAAGTTTTCCAGTTGAAGGTTGATTCGGAAAACCACTTCTGAATTGATGTGAGTTAAACAGAGGGATGGAGAATCTCTGAAGAATTACATGAGTAGGTTCAATGATGCAGTTCTTGAAGTTAGCTCATTCAACTAAGCCATCGGAATTGCGGTTGTAATTCAAGGGCTCCAACACGAGAGATTCAAAGACAGCTTAATTAAGCATCCTGCTGCTACTTTTAATGAGGTTAATGACAGGTCGTTGAAATTCATAACTGCTGAGGATTATGCTTTATCCCAAAAACCAGTTCTTCCCAAGAATCAAAACCCAGATTGGAGAGATGAGGGTCAAAGCAAAAAGCAAATAAGGACAGTACATAGCCGAGGTCCGATGTCGACCTTTACCGCGAGATTTGGAAGGCCGATCTCACTTCCCCCCCCAACAAAATCCCAGTAAAGCACCAGTTATATGTACTCCCTTTAATCTGCTGAGGTCGTAGATATTCATGCAGGTCAAGAAAAAGATGGATTTGAGGTGACCAGGGCCGATGAGAAGTTCTGCTACTACACGTGATCATACTAGATACTGTGATTTTCATCAAGATCATGGTCACACAACGGAGCAGTGTAATAGTCTGAGGTCGAAGTTGGAAAGTCTGGCTCAGAAGGGAATGCTGAATGAATACATTCAAAGAACCGAGCACCCGAAATTTGTTCGAGAACAAGGGCCATAACCACAGGGATCTCGTAATGTAGGTACTAGCCAAGGTGTGGGATATCAACAGACCCCACCTCCACTCCCACCACTAGCAAGAATTATACATATGATTATGGGAGGCTTGGAAGTAGGCGGTTTGAGCTCCAAACAACGAAAACTATATGTCAGGAAGGTGAAGCACCAAAATCGAGCTCAGAAATGAAAGTTTAATGACGCTGATTGGAAGAATCAACCCATCACTTTCACATATGCCGATTTCAATATAGTTGTCACACCTGACAATGATCCTCTAGTCACTTCCATCACGATTAACAACTATGAGGTACAACGTGTCCTTGTTGACACAGGAAGTGCACCAAACATTATGTACTATTTTGAGAGTCTCGGGCTGGATCCAGTTTTGTTGCAGAGGTACGATGGCCTCATCTATGGATTCAATAACTAACCTATTCAGGTAGAAGGAGTCCTTACTCTCAACGTTGCTTTTGGGAGCGGCCAAACTTACGTTACCTCTTCAATTTGGTTTCTGGTTGTCAAAATGGCATCCTCTTTTAATGCTATAATTGGACGACCCACATTAACCGAGATTTGAGCTATGGTCTCTCAATCTCACCTCTGCACGAAGTTCCCAACTCCTATGGGGATAGCAACACTATGAGGTAACCAGGAAGTGGCTAGAAATTGCTATATTACCTCGGTTACAAAGTCTCAGAAAAGCAAACATCAGACACTAGAAACCATTCCCCAACAAGTTCATGACAATCAGCAAGTGATGGGACTTGAGATAGTAGACAACCGACCTGAAGATGAAACTTGAGCTACCCTAGTTGAGGATATAAAGGAAGTGCAAATCGATGATAGAGATCAAAGCAAGAAGACACAAATTGGAACCCGGCTGAACCCAAAAGAAAGAGCAGACCTAATAGCTTTCCTTTAAGCTAACAAGGATGTCTTCGTTTGGACCTCAGCCAACATGCTGGGGATTCCAACCTTGGTATCTCAACACAAGTTCAACACTAATGCATTGAAGAAACCAGTAGCCTAGAAGCGACG